TCCAACATTATTTGTTTTCAAAAATTTTTGGCAAGTCTAGGTTTTTTGCCTTTCTATATAAATGTTTAAACCACCAGTCAACATCTACATAAAAGGCTGCTGGAATTTTGATTGGAATTTCATGAATCAATATAATAAATTGGGCAGAATTAACATCTATCTTAACAATACTGAATCTTCTCATCTATGAACGTGGTATATTTCTCCACTTATTTGGATCTTCTCAGATTTTTTTCTTCAGTGTTTTGTACTTTTCATCATACAGCTTCCACATAATTTGTTTCAGATTTATACTTATGTGATTTTTTGTGCTATTATAAATGGTATTGTTATTTTAATTTTGAATTCAATTTTTCCTGCTATTATATAAAAATATCATTGATTTGTATGCATTGACTTCATATCCTGAGACTTTATTAAATTCATTTGTTAGTTCTAGGAAGTTCTGTGTTAAGTTGTTTAGAAATATCTATGGAGAAAATCTGTGAATAGAGCTGACATCCCCTTTATTTCTATATCTTGTCTTATTATAATGGCTAGCATTACCAGGATGATAATAAATGCAAACTGTAAAAGAAGAAACCTTTGCTTTGTTCTCCATCTCTGGGGAAAGGTCTTCAATCTTTTACCATTAAGTGTGATGTTAGATGTAGACTTTTTGTAGATTTTTTTAATAATTTAAGCAAATTTTCCCTCTCTTTCTTTCCTTCTTCCTTTCTCTCTCTTTTTTCTTTTCTTTCTCTCTCTCTTTCTTTCTTCCTTTCTTTTTTTTTCAAGACAAAGTTTTGCTCTTGGCATCCAGGCTGGAGTGCAGTGGCACAATGTTGGCTCACTTCAACCTCCACCTCCCAGGTTGAAGTGATTCTAGTGATTCTCCTGCTTTAGCCTCCTGAGTAGATGGGATTACAAGCATGTGCCACCACACCCAGCTATTTTTTTTTTTTTTTTTTGTATTTGTAGTAGAGACAGGGTTTCACCATGTTGGCCAGTGGTCTCAAACTCCTGACCTTAAGTGATTCACCTGCCTCGTCCTCCCAAAGTGCTCAGATTACAGGCATGAGCCAGCACGCCCAGCTGCAAGTTTTCTTTTCTTTCTACTTTGCTGAAAGTTCATGTCATTAATACATGTGGAATTTTATCAGATGCATTTTCTGCATCTATTTTCTTTTGTAATCTGTTAATAGCTTACAACGATTAGATTTTTAAAAGCTGAACCAGTCTCACATTCTTTAGATCAATGCCACTTGACCACAGCGTATTATCCTTTGTATATATTAAATTTTAAATTTAAAAATGAAAACATACATATACACATATTTACAGAAAATTTACAGAAATAGATATATAGATATATCTAGTACATGAGTTAGTGTCTATACCATATATATGTATTGTGTGTGTGTATGTGTGTATATATATATATATATATAGATAGATAGACACACATAATTTTCAGTGAATACAGCTTGGAGATAATATGCAGATATATATCTGTGTGTGTATGTGTGTGTGTGCAGATATACACACACACACAGATATATATCTGCATATTATCTCCAAGCTGTATTCACTGAAAGGGGTTAGAAACAATGATATTAAAAGGAGAGCACTTAACTTCTAATAATACTGGTTTCTAAATACTGTCCTCCAATAATAGGAACCAGGAATCATTGAAGAACTGTCTGATTCTAGGGCTCGTGCAACGGAAATAAATATGAGCCTGGCGATCTTGTGGTGTTTCAATGTAAGGACGTTTAAAAAAATAAAAAGAAAAAAACAAACATAAAAAATGTGCAGGAACCAATCTGAAAAAGTTCCCATGAAACAATCTGAGCAACAAAATAAATAATAAAAGTACAATGTTTATAACTAAAATAATAATTAAATATCCAAGATCCCATAAATAAATGAATAAATGATTAATATGTAACTGGGAAAAAAGGAAAGCTCTTCTTTAGAAAAGAATCTTAGCTATTATAAATATAGAAGGCCTGGGGGAAATACAAAAGTACTGTTAAACCCCATAGTAACCATTGCTGCAGGTTAAATCCTCCAAGGTTGCTAAAAAGAATGGCTGAATATTTAAGTAAAAACAAGATTTTGCATAGTCTTCAAGTATCTCTGTATTAATATTTAAGACTCTTCTTAACTTCGAAACTACTTCTAAATAAAAAGTAAAATATAATAAGGGAGAGAATAGTGATGTCAAAAAATGTTTTTGATCTATTAAATTTTAAAAAGGCATTAGGTTCCAATTTTATGCACCTACACACATACACACACACACATATAAACACACAACCAACTGAAAAAATTAAAAATTGATTTAAAATAGCTTAAACCAAAATGTAAGACATAGGTATCTCTTGGTGGTGGCACAGAGTGCAGTAGTAGTGATTTCGGTTTTATAGCATCATTATTATTATTGCTTATCAATATTTTCTAAAATTTTCTACCGTGACCGTGTATTCATATTAGAATTAAAAATATATTTAAGACATCCCTGGAGGATGTGTTTCATGCTTCATATTCTGCATTGTGTTGAAAACAATAATGGGTGCTGTCAAAGTGAACTGTTGAAATGATGCCTGCTATTTTTTTTTTCAAAATAGATAATCATCCACCTAATTTATATTTGGATACAGAACTTATCTTAGTGCTTTGGACAAAATACTCAGTAATAGTTGAGTTATAAATTATAGGTTTTGCTCTATTTAAGTTAGTATAAAGTTAAGAACATCTGGAAAAATATCATGTATAACATCTGATAAATAGAAATTACAAAAAACATTTAGAGCTAAACATTATCCTAAGCATTTTATATATCTTAGTTTATTCAATCCTTAGCACAACTCAGAGAGGCAAGGATACTGCTACTACCTTTCTTCATTTTACAGATGAAGAAACCAGGGCACAGAGATGAAGTAATCTGGTCTCACAGCTATAGTAAGTGGCAAGCAGTGATATAAAGCACGTCTATATTTATTGTTATTTGACTTCTCACAGCAATTCATTAAGTTAGGTATCTTTATCTCCAGTTGTCAGATGACGAAACTGAAGCTCAGAGAAGTAAGTGCTGGCCTAACTAAATGTGTCAGGGCTGGGACACTTGATCTCAAAACCCTTGCTGTTTCAGCTATAACATGCTGCCTCATGCATTAACATGCAGTGGGCAAACCAAAACAGGATATTACCAGAGAGCTGTCAAAACACATCTCCAGTGGAGAACTCCACATGTGGATTAGTTCTTTCCCAAGTCTGCTTAAATTTCACACCATCCACCTACATTTTTTTTTCCTACCAGCTGAGAATGGTGACATTTCTTCTTCTCTGGTTTAAATCAGAAAAACTTGCAGGACTACAACCACCAAAGAAGGTACGTATTAGCTTACAGAGATTTTTGTCCCCCTCTCATTTAATTTAAAGAGGCAGTTAAAAAAAAGAAAAAATCCCGGTTCCATTTCTGTCGGTAAGAAAGTGACTGTAGGAATTCTCAGGCAAAAAAATAAAGTAATTTCATTTTTAGAGTAAATGCCCTGTTGACAAGTTGGCAGGGCTGCCTTGTTTGGAAAAGAATGTGCAGAAAACCCAAAAGATAATTAGTGTGTGGTAACGTAACAGCATGCAGCAAGGCTGTAACGTGTCTGGCAGAGGCAGATGTGGCCACACAGTTCATTAACGCTGTATAGTTTGTTTAATTCCAGTTGGGGTAATTAGAGAAGGTTCTAGAACCTGCCTAGAGCTCCAAAATAGACTCTGATTTCAGCAGCAGTGGGGTGGATCTAAGCCACCACAGTGGGCCCCAGGAGATTAGAAGATTAGAATTCCTCACAAACCCATTTGCTTTTCTTTGACAATCATCTCTGCACTGACCATAATGATAGAGGAGAGGAACAGCATGATGGTCACAATAAAGGAGAATTTTTAAACTGGCTTTAAAATGCACTCTATGGTGATTCCATTATTAAGCTTATCTCTTAAATTATATTTTGCTTAAGTGTCCATTAAAATCACAGGAGCTTCTCATTTTTATAGTGAGTAAATTTTAACAAAATTCTTTATGAAGTATTTTTTCTATTAATGTAGTTTTGTCTTTCTAATAATTTAAGAAAATTAAAAATATGTCATTGGAGAAAAACATTATCTAGGTAATACTGGATGTTTTGTATATGAAAATGCTCGCTAGGACTTTGAGAATTTTATCACTTTCCTGATTTTTCTCCTATCCCTACTTCCTTTTTCTACCTTCCTTTCGCTCTTCCACAGACCATGGAAATCACACCTGTGCCCAAGATTCTCTGTCTCCACATTCAAAACTCTTGAAATTCAGCTCTGATAGATCTCTTCCTGCTTGTGTATTTATATTGTCCAACAGAGCTAGGATGCACTATTTCATATAGCCAATAGAAGCCGCTTTAAAATATGAAGGGGCCCCAACTTGATGTATCCACTTAGTAATTCTCTCATGCAAATGAGTATTGCACTTTATGTTTATTGGACCTGAAAAATCTATCATATGAATTTGTTTATAATGCTACACTTGCAGTGTGCACTTTCTGATCCTAGCAACTGATGTGAGGGAAGTAATCCAGCTATGCTGAGCAAATAGGGAAAGCTGAGCTGCTGCTAGATATTTTTCAAAAGTCTTCCTCTATATGGTTAATTGGCCAATAGATATTCAAGTGGTTTAGGTCTTTTTTTTTTTTTTTTTGAGACAGAGTTTCGCTCTTGTTACCAAGGCTGGAGTGCAATGGCGCGATCTCGGCTCACCGCAACCTCCGCCTCCTGGGCTCAGGCAATTCTCCTGCCTCAGCCTCCCGAGTAACTGGGATTACAGGCACGTGCCATCATGCCCAGCTAATTTTTTGTATTTTTAGCAGAGACGGGGTTTCACCATGTTGACCAGGATGGTCTCGATCTCTTGACCTTGTGATCCACCCGCCTCGGCCTCCCAAAGTGCTGGGATTACAGGCGTGAGCCACCGCGCCCTGCCCGGTTTAGATCTTTTTTAAAAAATTAAATAAGAACAGATTTTTTTTCTAGTCTACATGTGTAGTCTGTCAGAACAACTACAACTATTTGCCAAATTCCTGCAGCCCCTGTCTTTAGCAGAAGAAAGAGAACATGTGTGGCTTTTGTTTATAGCTATAGGTCAGTGTGGTGTGTCATTGATCTGATCAATGCTACCATGTACCCTGGGCATGACTCCAGCCTCCCAGAAAAGGATTGCTGTATCTTTCTAGGATCTGCTTTGAAACATTATGTATGTTTTGTTTCTCTCTTTTTACCTGTCTTTTCCTGACTGCCTAGAAGGGGTAAACTTGCTTCACTTACCCATCCATCACCCGTTTGCAATCCCACATCTATTTTTCTATGGAGTAAGGAAAAATCATCGTGAGACTTCTCTCCTACCACGTTAGAGGAGTGGTGACCAACATCCCCAACATTAAGTTTATTGTTGGTACTATGCCCAGTCTGGCTTCCTATCCCTAGTGAAACTGAGTAGTTCAGTGAGAACAAGATATTACCCAAAGCCGGCTCCATTCAGCAAATGGTGTAGGCTTCTTGGCTCATTTCCTCAGTTCTGGAGTTCATCACACCATAAACCACAGGGACTTTGTAGGCATGTTATTGTATTAGCACCATATGGAGGCTACTCATGGAACTCACATGCAGAATGTGTGATGTCAGAGCAGTTTACATGAATCCAAATTTTGTGCAGCTGTTAGACACAGATGTTTCATTTCATTTTTTATGTCAGCACCATCCCAATAAATCCACTGATCCTGAGATTAAAAAGTAAGGAAAGCTCTGTGTGCTCACACATATTTCAGAGCCAGGTGGCTCTATACCACTTATATGGAGATGTACACTCACTACCAGGGGTCACAACAGAGCTATGGCTCTCATACTCACAGAAGGACAAATATATCTGTGGAAATCAATAGGAAAGCAAATGCAAAAGGACAGCAGCCCTCACGCAAATGAGAAACTATTATCTAGAATCGGATGCACTCTTTGCAATAGATTCCTGCAAAGGAAAATTTCAGGATGAACATCGCAATTTCTTCAGAAGACATTTGATAAAAATGAGTTGGCTTCTGAAAAGGAAAAGTTTTGGCTAATGAGTCTCTCTGACTCTACCTTACAAGCCTGTCTTGGGTTTGCCTTCATCAGGGCAAGATATATCATTGTCTTTTACCAGTAAAAGGAAACCTTCAAAGGCTGCCACCCAAATAATGCTCATATTAAAAAATAAATAGTTCTCAATGTTTCCTTGGATTTAAGAAGGCTACACACGTGTTTTTAAATGCCAGGAGTTTTAGTTATGTATGCTATTTATGACTCTCCATTATATGACTAGATGTGTTATTTAAAAATAAATGCTGAGACTGGATTTTCTGTGATTCATTTTGGATAGGTTGTGGTTCTTCATGGTTTCTCCATAAAAAGAGGGCAAGAATTCTCTGCTTTTCTGAACTGGTGTAAGCACACTTTATGGTCCCAAATTAAGACTTGATTTTAATTTTTTTCTCCTTCTTTGCCTCACCCTTATCACCTCACTCCAGGGACTTTTACAGAGTCATCTTGCCTTGTGAGATGGCAGAGTAAAGCCTTGCACACACATTGCCCTGTGTGAAAGTGGCTCATGCACAAGAATCATGTGGAGTTGTTTGACTTGTCTCTCCTCCCCATCATGTTTTATTGTACTTTTTTTTTTAATCAGAGAAAACGAAACTGTGAACATTTTAGGGCATGCTTCTCATTTCAGATGCACGGCGTGCCTAGCTACGTAAGACAGAAAATCCCCTGCTGTGTTCTCTAGGCAGGCACATAGAGCAGATTTTGTGCGATCCTGGACTCAGTTTAGACTCTGGCTCTTAATGCTGTCATTAAACTGCCATAGAAGATGCAACTCTATTTGGTATTTTGGGGAAGATCCACTAAGTGGCTCATCCCAAATTTGGTGGGGAGAAGAAATGGATTAAAATTTAGCAACAAGGGAAAAGTGTGCTTGAAATGAGGCTTACTCAATTTAATTTGGAAGATACTGCTCTTCCAACAGAAAGTTATGCTCCATTGCACCATCAACTTCAAACATTTTTGAAACTCTCTGGACCTGGTGATAGATGCTAAAGGATTCAGGGTCCCTTTTGAGCACAGTGCTGGCTAGATTGTTGTAACTCAGGGGAGGGAACTCATGTAACAGCCATGGCTGATAAGAAACTGCTGGAAATTCTCATCTAGGAAAATTGGAAGATTTGCATGGAGGCCGCATGACAATCATAACAATTACACAAATGCTAGTCATGAAAGCTAAACTTTGTGAAGGGTTCAGCTCTTGGTGAATGAGACTCTTTTGATTGTTTTTTATTTGTTTTTTTTTGTTGTTGTTGTTTTTTTACTTATTCTTTTCATGACTCATACCACTCAAGACTAAGCTGTCATCCTTCTATTAATAATCACATTGTTTTCCCTGTGATAAATATATATCAATTTAACGAGTTCATGTAGGAATTTGCAGCATAAAACAAATCTTACAGAAAAAAAAATCTGTGCCTGAATGCTTGATTTCTGGAGGTAGTTATATTCTTTTTTTTTTTTTTTTTTCCTTTTGAGACAGTATTCCTCTGTCACCCACGCTGGAATGCAGTGGTGCTATCTTGACTCACTGTAACTTCTGCCTCCGGGGCTCAAGCAATCCTCCTACCTCAGCCTCCAGAGGAGTTGGGACTACAGGCACACACCACAATGTCCAGCTAATTTTTTGTATTTTATGTAGAGAGTGGGTTTCATCATGTTGCCCAGGCTGGTCTCAAACACCAAGGCTCAAGTGATAGGCCTGTCGTGGCCTCCCAAACTGTTAGGATTATAGGCGTGAGCCACATGCCTGACTGTACTCTTATATTTCTGCTGTTTATCCTCCACTCTCAACACCTCATTCCCTGACAAGGTTACTCATCTTTGAGTCGAAAAAAATCCATTAACGCTTTCACTGAAGAAAATCCTCTAGGCTTTTCCTACCAAGGTAATGAGAGACTTAATGATCAGATATTGAAATACATGTGATGAGAATACATGAAATTTATAGATGAACTACCCAACCTCCTTTTAAAAGCCATTGACTTTATCCTGAATAGGCAGTTTATATGTCTGATCATCTAATTTACCAAGAAATATTTTTTTCAAATATTTGATCATAATTTTTTTATCTTATCCTTCCAGTATTTAAATTATGCATATGTTACCCCTTTTGATATTGTCCACAGTTCTTCAATTTTCTGGGTTTTTGAGACTCTTTTTCCTCTTTGTGCTTCAATTTGGGAAATTTCTGTTTAAACGATGTTCAAATGCCCTGATGCTTTCTTCAACTATGTCCAGTAGCTAAACCTGTTGAAGACATTCTCCAGTTTTGTTACAGTTTTCCATTTCTAGTATTTCCTTTTGTTTCTTATATTAATAGTTTCTATCTCTTTGCTGACATTATGCATTTGGTATTGCATGCTGGTTATTTTTCCATTTGAGCCCATAACATATAAATCAGTAATTTTAAATTCCATGTATGATAATTCCAATATCTGTGTCATATCTGATTCTAGTTCTGATGATCACTCTGTCCCTTCAGGCTGTCCCTTTCTTACCTTTTAGTGTGCCTTGTGATTTTTTTGTTGAGAGCCACATATTATGCATTTCTGATAGGTACTGAAGTAAATGGGCTTTTTGTGTGAGGATTTATGTTAATCTGACCTGGAGTTAGGCAGTGTTTAATGATTATTATAGCTGTGAGTTCCAGAGGCCTCAAATTCCTCTAGTGTCCTTGTTTTTGTCCTCCCTCTTGCCTTTGTGGCTCCGTTTGTATTGCTACTCAGAGTCTGGATCTTGCAGCTCTTTCAGCTGTAATCGACTGAAAGTATATTGATATGGTGGTAAAGTGTGAAGAAGAGGAGGTGTTCTATAATCTTCTAATTAAGTCTCTGTCTTTCATTGGGCCTATGTCTCAAGGGCATGGCCTTCATAAGTATTTCTGTCCCTTTTCCCTTATAGAGGACCCCACATCACCCAACCCCTCCTTCTCTTACTATACTCTAGTCCTAGTGCCCTACTATGTTTGTTTTGGTTTTCCTTTTGTTTCTTTTAGGTTAGACAGGAAGTCTAGGGAGTGAAGTAGGGTGAAAATCCACTCCACCAGGTAGAATAAGGCTTCAGTATTGCCCTATACCGTAGTCTCCACTTATTTGTGGCTGATATGCTCCAAGACCACCAGTGGATGCCTGAAAACTCAGATAGTACTAAACTCTACATATGCTGTGTTTTTTCTTATACATATACACTTGTAATAAGGTTTAATTTCTGCATTAGGTACAGTAAGAGATTAACAATAACTAATAAGAGAAAAATCATAACAATATACTGTAATGAAAGTTATGTGAATGTGATTTCTCTCTGAAAATATCTTTATACTATACTATACCACAGGTAACAAACCATGAAAAGCAAAACTATGGATAAGCGGGGAGACTACTTTACCCTTGGAGAGTAGGCTTTTGTTACAGGGAAGCAGCTCAGAGGGTTACACTATTGTTACTCTTTCCACCGCCTTTCCAGGGCCACAAGGGGGGTTTCTCAACTTCTTACCCTGAGAACCTGGTAGGATTCTGAAGGAGAAAGACCTCAAAATTGTGGCAAGAAGTATTTAATACCCCTGTGATTGGGGCTTCACTGTTCTCACTGCCACATTAGTCCACACTTGACTTCTAGCAATTCTTCACATTTACTGGTGAAGTAAGTGTTGCCACTCTTTTTCCTACAGTGGCTTCTGCTGTATCTCTCTAGATGAACCTGTCTCCAGATCTCAGGGTATGGGTTACTCTGAAACTTCAGTTCTCTCACAGATCCAAAAAAGTCATTGATTTTTAGTTTGTCTAGCTTTTTCTCATAGGGATGGGAATGGTGACTTCCAAGCTTTTTACACACATCAAAAACAAAATTGACACAAATTTAGTTATAGATCTAACTGACTCTTATTTTCAATTCATGACTTTGGGCATCTTCCAATTCTACAAAAATAGAACAAGAGCTCACCCTGGGCAATGATAGGACGGTGAGTTTTGTAAAGTGGGGACAAAGAAACAGAACAATAGAAAATAAAAGAGCTGACTGAGCCCATACTTATAATCCCAGCACTTGAGAGGCCAAGGTAGGAGGATCACTTGAGGCCAGGAGTTCAAGACCAGCCTGGGCAACATAGTGAGACTTCATCTCCACAAAAACAAAAATAAAAAAATTAGCCAGGCATAGTGGCATGTACCTGTGGTCCTAGCTACTCAGGAGGTGGGAAGATGGCTTGAGCCCAGGAATTTGAGGCTGTAGTCAGTTATGGTCATGTCACTATACTCCAGCCTAGGTGACAGAGCCAGACTCTGTCAAAAAAAACAAAAACAAAAACAAACAAACAAACAAACAAAAACATCGATTAAAAGCTGATTGGTTAATGTCAGTTTACTTTTATGTAAGAGTTAAAGCAGATGAGTCGCCCTTAAGCTGACTCAGGCAGACTGGGGTCTCCTGTTTTTATGAAAAACTGGGCTGTTTTGGGATATGTCTGCTTCTATAAAATTTCAATTTGATAATGTAGCATTTAGCATGAGTGACTCCATTCGATTTGGTCTGGTTTGTTGGAAACTAATGTGGGAGCTCAGTCCAAAACAATGGCCTCCAAAATTTTTGTTTAGCATATGTCAGATTGGACACCAGAAGTCTACAAACTAAAATAAAATCCCAGGCTGGGAATGGTGGCTCATACCTATAATCCCAGTACTTTGGGAGGCTGAGGTGGGAGGATCACTTAGGGTCAGGAGTTAAAAATCAGCCTGGACAACATAAAGAGACCCCATCTCTACAAAAACAGAAAAAAAATTTGGCCAGACTTGGTGACACACACCTATAGTTCTAGCTACTCAGGAGTCTGAGGTGGAGGATCCCTTGAGGCAGAAGCTGAAGTGAGCTATGATCATACCACTGCACTCCAGCATAGGTGACAGAGTGAGACCCCAATCTCTAAAAAATAAAATGAAATCTCATTTTTTGCCTTTCAGGTTGACAAATACTAAGATTGATAATAATATTCAATATTAAAGAGAGGGAAGAAATGGGCGTTCTCATATTGTGCTAATGGGAACCTAAATTGGTATTGCCTTTCTTGAAGGCAATTTCACACTATCGGAGTTTAAAAGGCACAACCCCTTTGAGGCAGCGCTTCTACTTGTCAGCTTGTAGTAATCCATCCTATAGACAAGCTCACACTAATGTGAAAATATATGTATAGGGTATTCACTAAATAATTTTCTATAATAGCAATACACTGGAAACAATCTAAAGTTCTATCAGTAGAAGAATGGTTTAGAAAAAACTATGATTTATTTATTCCATGGCTATTATACAGCCTACTAATAAAGTAGATAGATTAATAAACTAAAATAGTAACATGTTCATAATATATTGCTATGTTAAAAATCAAGTTATAGAGTAGTATGTAAATATGATATTATCACGATAAAAACAAAGCAAGTACTACTTGTGCATGGGGGATGAGGGTGAGTATCAGAAATAAGTACTCGTATCTCCTTAGAAAAATGTCTACAAGTGTAGATACTAAATTCTAACCGTTAATAACTTCTCTAGCAAAGAAGGGAAAACTTCCATTTTAAAGGAAACTAATACATTTTAAAACAAATGTGGATTATTTTTGTGATTGAAAACATGCACACACAAATCAAGCAGGTTCGATTCTTTGATTAAAGAGAAACCTGTCTGGGAAAACACAGCAATAGCCTTTAGTTCATGTTTCTAAGCAATTCTAGGAGTCTTAAACAAGTTAGATTTTTGCCTGAATAAAAGACCTCTTAGGAATTTAGCAGGGAAAGAAAGTCACTTTTCTGCCAGTGGAATGGGTTGGTGGATCTTGGCTTGTGTAAAAGTGAGGGCCCAGACTGTGTCTATTTTATGTATCTTTGTCACTCTACTGTCTATACTGTGTTGGACACTTAGCAGGGTCTCAGTATATATTGTTTGGATTAATCATGTAAAAATATGACAATGTTTCTGTGACAAATTACTGTACTATGTGCAATAGGGAAATCTGGCAAGCAGTTAATAGGAAGTTTCTCTGTTCTTAATGAGTATTCTAGAATTTAAGTACTGAAGTTGCTGGCACCATAGCAATGTTGAAGAAATGAACCAAACCTAGAAAGAATGCTGCTCACTGACAGAATCTTTCTCAAACTGAAATAGCAATGAACTTGCATGGGCAATTTTCTGTCTGCCAGCTCATAAAAAGGACCACAGATTCAGGCAATGACCTAAAAGTACAACATTTTAGCTTTAATATTTGTGTTCAAAAGATAATGTAGCAAATGGGGCCCACAGTTAGGATTTCTTGGGGTTATCACAGGTTGTAGCGTTTGGCCACAAACTATTGAGATTAAAAGAGAGAGAAGAGGCCAGAATTTATTAAGCACCTCCTGCCTACTCATTGAGAAACTAGGCACATGGTACCTAGTCTAGTGACACCAGTCACTCAGCATATGGCACCTCATTAAATCTCACAACAAGCTTGTGAAGTGTTGTTATCATCTTATACTTCCAGATGAGGAAACTGGAAGTTGGACCACTTGGATAACTTGTCTCAGGACATACAGCCAGAAAGTGGGAGAGCTGGGATTTGAATATAGATGGGCCTGGCTCCAAATGCCATACTTGTGTCTCAGGCAACCAACCTGGAATAGTTGGCTTTGACATGCCTCACTTATATTGATATGAGAGAAGTCCCTGTAGAAGACTCCTAAGGGCTTGGTTACAAAGAACTAATTAGATTGAACCATCCCATCTGTAAAACTAATCCAGAGATTTTACACCCATATGTAAGATCCCCACCCCATCTTTAACTTCTACAAGCCCTGGGGAAATGACTCAGTATTACCGAATAGGGCTCTCAAAATCTTGAGTAAACACAGGTATGCTGTACAATTTTCTGAACCCATCCCATCCCAGAAAGCAGATACCCCCATACTGAGACAAATTGCAGTCTCAGTGAAGAACTGCTTACGAGGTCATCATCAGTGATATGGAGATGGTCACTTGTTATAAACACCCTCATGGAATAAAGCTATTCGTTTATTTTTCCATAATATTTGCTAACTCAGATGAAACGATTTTCATCTTTATTTTCACCACAGCAGATAGTTAACATGCCAGAGTGCTGCAGCTTTCAGCATGTTTAGGCAATGTTTGAGTCCTTCTCTCATATATCTTATGCCTGGGGTTTGGCCTCCATTTAGAGTACATTAAATGCTATATCTATTTATTGTCCAGCTTTCTTCTCGTAGGGATGGGAATGGTGACTTCCAAGCTTTTTACACACATCAGAAACAAAATGGACACAAATTTAGTTATAGATCTAATTGACTCTTATTTTCAATTCATAACTTTGGGCATCTTCCAATTCTACAAAAATAGAATAAGAGCTCACCCTGGGCAATGATAGGACAGTGGGTTTTGTAAAGTGGGGACAAAGAAACAGAACAACAGAAAATAAAAAGGCTGACCGAGCCCACACCTGTAATCCCAGCACTTGGGAGGTCAAATTAGGAGGACCACTTGAGGCCAGGAGTTCAAGACCAGCCTGGGCAACATAGTGAGACCTCATCTCTACAAAAACAAAAATAAAAAAATTACCCAGGCATAGTGGCATGTACCTGTGGTCCTAGCTACTCAGGAGGTGGGAAAATGACTTGAGCCCAGGAATTTGAGGCTATAGTCAGTTATGGTCATGCCACTATACTCCAGCCTAGGTGACAGAGCCAGACTCTGTCTAAAAAAAAAAAAAAACGATTAAAAGCTGATTGGTTAATATCAGGTTACTTTTTATGTAAGAGTTAAAGCAGATGAGACTTCCTTAAGCTAACTCCTGGGGCCCTACATGTTGGAATGCTTCATTTCTCTCCTCCTGCTACTTGCTTTTCTCTCCTCCCATAGCTTTATATATCTTTTACACACCAATCACATCCACTCTTATTTCTCCAGCCTTCATTTCTCCAGTCAGATATCCAACAGACATCTTCATATCTCCAGTCAGATATCCAACAGACATCTTTGTAACAGAGCTGCAGAGAATAATTCTTGATTCCTGCATTCATCTCAAACCTATTCTTCCCTGGTGCCATGAATTCAGTTTTCTGTCTCAGTAAACATCACCACCATACCTGAACATTTTACTGGTTTCCTGCCTTTCCCTCACCGTATATCGAATTCTTCAGTAAGCTTTCAGGATCTGCCTACAAAACATCTCAAATTGATCAACTTTATCTCGTGATATTGCCAACTTTAAGCCACCAATCTCTTGCCTCAACTACTTTAATTTGCTCTTCTTGCTTCTATCTGTCTCCCATAAGGCAGCCATAATGATAAATTTAAAACATAGATAATATTGATCTTTTCCTTGAAATCACTCAAGGTTTCCCAGCTGTATTTTACCAATGGTCTACAGCACTTGCATTATCTAGCTCCTACCGATCTCTACTACCTCACCTTGTATGTCTCTTCTAACTTGCAGCCCCACAGTCATGTTGTCCCCCTATTCCTTGAACACACCAAACCCTGGGGTTTCCCTTGCTGCTCCTCAGGTTTTTCCCCCCAGACTTTCCATTGAGTCTTGCTCATGATTTAAGTCTAAGCACAAATACTACTTCTTCAGTGGTTCTATGTCCATCCTGAAGTAGTTATGGTTCACTTTATCACCCTATCACAACATCCTGTTTTATTTTCTTCATATCACTTAAAATTATCTAAAATTATTTTGTTCAGTTGTTTATTTACATGTTTATTGTATGTTTTGCTCTGTAGAATGACACCTCTGCATGAACAGGGAGCTTTTCCCTTTTTTTCAGGACTGTATCTCCAGAGCTAATTTTTTAAAAACTGAAATAGTAGTAGATACTGCCTGCGTAATTTTCTCTCTGCCAGTCCACAGAATAATACATCACTGAACCACAAAATAACCTAAAAGTATACAATT